CACACCAGTGGATAGTGTTAAAAAATAAAGCATCTTTTATTCACGCATATTTGTCATATCAAAAATTGCAATGTTTCGGAGCCACACAGGGTCCCCTTCATCAGGCCTGATAAGGGGGCCCTGTGCAGCCCCAAAACGTTGCAATTTTTGATATGAAAACATGCGTGAATAAAAGACGCTTTATTTTTTCAGCACTATTCACTGGGGTGCTTGTGACATTTCTGATATACATTCCTGTGAATCATGGCACCTGTTTACAGAGGCGGCAGCAAATCTCCTCCTTCCTGTGGATCCACGCCGCCCGCACCCGCCAAGACCGACCGGGACCCCTGGTGAGATCGCACAGCCCTAAGACCCTGCAGAGCCACCTGAGAGTCCGCACAGCCCACTATAGAACCTGCACAGCCACATGAGAACCTGCACAGCCACCTCCGCACTATAACACTAATTTCCATTATTTATTCTAGACTTCTACTTTCAGAGCTAGTTATGACTAAAACCAGTAATAATCAAATGCAGAGGCAATTATTTATTATGACGAAGAGGTAAAGAGTGACTTACAAAATCCTTCTACCATATATTGTAATAGATCCAAGAGACAAAGCATCATACCAGTTCTTCTTCATAGGGTTTTATGTGAATGTGAACAGTAAGAGGAAGCTCATTCTTCAGGATTTTTCCATCTCCTTTTGTCATAGAGGACACATTTATTTTTGTAGGTAAGAAGCAGAGATGGATCCGGCTTCAATTCTATCTTTTTGCCAATCCAAAGCTTCTTTAAAGCCCCCTGTGATAAGTAAGGGATGTTGTACAATTGGGAATACTCTGGCCAATAACCTCTGAAGAAATGAAAGTGGTAAAAGGAGAATATACTCCAAAAATTATATAGAAAAACAATTTTGGACAACCATTATCACTATTTTTAACTTGTTGGCTTTACAGTAAAAGCCCATCTACAGCTGTATTTACCACAGACTCATATCTAGGATAACAGGCTTAGCAGCAGTGGAGTAGAGGAAGGGTAGGATGTTCTGTTGGAGAGCAGGGCATTAAAGAGAACCTGTTGCTTTGCTCTGCATGGGTAAAGCACATATTTGCTTTGAAACCCTATACATCCAGGCCTAGTCATTTCCCATCCATCTTGTTATAGAGGTTGGACTATGCACTCTGGCTTACTACTTTTTGCTATATTACAAAACATGTGGCCATTATTGATATCTTCATAATTTTCAATCATGGGCAAGCCAGCAATAAACCGAAAAGATAATAGTTGTATAAACAAACTTTATAAAATGAACCAAGATTTCAGTGTACAAACATTCAGGAGAAAAAACAACATTTACAGAGGTAATGATGTATCCATGAGACAGAAATCATAAGAATATTACAAAATATACAAACAGAGCTATAAAATTGTGTCAATATAAAGTCCGCCCCAATAGGCTGTTGGTTGGTGAAATGTATTACATTCACAAACAGGTATGTAAATGGGATATTTGAATTATAGAAAACATGGTTGTGCAATTTTTACTATTAATCTGAGTAAATAAATAGTAATAAGACAATAATGCCCAATAAATCATTTACTACCATCTTCAACACCACCACCCCTTCGATACTCTGTTCATCAACAACCAATCATGCAGACAGATTAAAAGGCCCTGCAATACCACACCCCCTAAAAAGTAAAAGATACAATAATATGTCCCCAACATGAGCACAGGGAAGAAAATGCCGTGGTGCTGCAATTTACGATTAAGATTGTCCGTGATCTGAGTGAGAACAAAGACCCTTGTTGGCTGCTTCTGTGGAAACAGCCAATCAGTGCCTTGCTTATACATACATTTTTGGTGCCACCCAAGGCAGCCGGACATCTTTCAAAGTGCTAGAAATGTTTTCCTTTCAAATAAACCAATTATCCGCAAACCCAGAGGAATGATCCTCGTCATTGTGCAGACATAAAAAGTAAGGAAAGAACTCAGGCAGAGCAGATGATGAGGTTAGGTTGGAATTTGTTGCTTTTATGACCGCTTTGTGACTTTAGCAACACGTATTAAACAGCATAAAAACCTATAGATAATCAGGAAGGTCAGCGACCATTTTCATATTGCTGTATTACATTGAGGTCATTAAGAAGAAACTGTAAGCTTCAACATACACATTGCTGTATTAATTTGTATCTACTTAGCTGCTGCTGGTCTACCTTTATATATCTTGGATTTGCAGACAGTAGCCTACAAAGCGGGAAGCACTTGAGACCACCAACTTGCCATCTTATTGGACAGCTGATGAGCTTAGGGACACTCCAACAGGCTTCCATCTACTGAGCAATTTTCCATAGATCGGGGAGCGCTTCCCCAACTTGTCTCCATAGACTAGCCTTCCATCTACCGTGCAATTTTACATAGATCGGGGACTGTTTTCTCAACTTGTCCCCATATACTAGCCTTCCATCCACTGTGTAATCTTCCATAGATCGGGGAGTGTTTCCCCAACTTGTCCCCATAGACTATCCTTCCATCCACTGTGTAATCTTCCATAGATCGGGGAGTGTTTCCCCAACTTGTCTCCATAGACTAACCTTCCATCTACTGTGTAATCTTCCACTGACCGGGGACTGTTTTCCCAACTTGTTCCCATAGACTAGCCTTCCATCCACTGTGTAATCTTCCATAGATCGGGGAGTGTTTCCCAAACTTATCCCCACAGACTACAAACAGATCAGGTTTCTCTTCCTTTGACAGATCTCTAAAACATGATCTAGTGTTTTACAAAGAATGCTTAACCAGATCATTCCTTCAGGTCAGGGACATGACTTACAAATTCTGGGGCTGGATAGTTGGAAGAGGTAAGATTCAAGCTGATTTACAAACTACCCCTTTCCATTGACAGCAGGTAAGGATTGATACATCTTACATTTGCACCCGATGCATGTTGTACTGGTGCTGTATTTGCAGTAAACATGACCTTATGGTGAGAAGGGATGGGGGGGAGGTTCCCCCAGTGTACATTAACATTATATGACATGTAAGTCACCGCACTAGGACAGTGAAAGGCCCTGCAGTCTTATTGTCTCCTTACTGAGGAGAAGATATCAGTCTTATTCTTTAACAGTCAGCCAACCCAAGAACCAGCATAAATATACAAATGCCAACACGTAATACAGTTTACATACGTCTGGTCACATAATCATATTTATATCAAAAGAATATTAAACGATAACATACTGTATTAAGATAATTCTATCAGGTGACCAGAATGTTAATGAAACATTTATTCGGAATTACAAATAATCTCAATATATTTTTTTTTAAAACATTAAACCAGCTCCACACAAACGGATATTTCAGTTTAGCATTGTTGCAAGCAAGTCAAATAACATGCTGGCTCCTTAAGGGGAGACTATAATTTGGGCTCATTTCAGGTTTAAACTGACATTTTATATCTTTTTTTTTTTACAATATTAGATATTGTGACATAGTAGCCACAGGATGATAACACAGCATGTGAAGGGGGGGACACAGGCATGTGACACTCCTCTCCTGGAAGTGTTCAAAGCTTAAGATTCAGGAAGCTGTAGTTTTTCAGTTGAGTGAAGAAAGGAGACCCAGGGTGCTGAAGAGATAATATAGGCAAGTAAGAGGTATAATACGTCTTTTGCAGGGTGGGGGGGCTGGTTTAACAAATTTGTTTTGCAAAATCCAGTTAATGATAATGTATTGTACGGAGTGATATAGAAAAAAAAAAGGAATGAGACCCCACTGGTGAGTTATGTTAATCAGAATTCCCAGTTCTAACCAATTGTCATAACCATTACAAAGGACATCACATACACCTAGTAAAAAATATCCATTATGTAGAAGAGACAAAAAACTGGAAAGTCCAGCTGCAAGAGAGACATCTTTATATGGCCCAGTGGGGTGGGAAGAGATGCAAACTACTCTGGGGATGCTGGAGACGATCAGATATAAAAAGCCACTGGGGACGGGGGGGACGGGAGTGTCAACATAACAGGAAATACCTTGGGCTGGATCTGGCCTTTAAAGTAAACCTGCCCAGACAGAACTGCAAGGTCTGCCATTGCTGATCTCCATGTTAACATGTGGACCCAATGGCTTCAGTAATATAAATGCAGATCAGAGAACTCAGATATCCTTATCTACCTACTTGTCCCTTATCAATGAAGTACTGAAGGAAAATGGGCAGCATGACAGCCAGGCAGCTGGCATTTTAAGAAAATTAAGAGGTTAGCAATGGCAGCCTCCACGTTTCTGGCAGGTGTCCCTTAAAGGCATGCGTTTCAGGCCCCATGTTTCACGTTACACCCATATATAGGGTATAAAATGAAACATGGTCACATCAACCCAGCCCCTCACCCCCAGCGTGCCCCCTACTTACCCGAATTGCGGCGCTTTCTCCTCTCCCCGATGGCTGCTGTTATCTTGTGAGATCGGAATGGATGTGCGTGGCTCCATCCGCACAGCCCCATCATCCATTCACAGATTCTTTGACAGGATCTGTGAATGGAGAGACTACATTTTCCACCTGCCAACCTAGCAGAGAGACTCAATCTAGTACAAGTGTGGTGACGTCACTGCACTTGTAGTCCATTCATACTTCCTCCCGTCCCTTAGCTGAAAGTTCATAGTCCTCAGTATGGACAGGGGCTGAGAGGAAGGGTCTGCAGGAGCCAATGCATTGCACCTGCGATCCACTAATCCCAGCTTCAATGCTTTACTGGCCCCAATGCAAAATAAATGCACATTTTAATTTTTTTTTTTTTATTGTGTGCACATTTATATTTTTTTGGTAAAAGGTGAAATATACCTTTAAAAAATAATACAGCAATCACTTGGGAGGAGGGTATCCATTCAAATCTCAATAGGAAATTTCCTGAAAAGTATCAGCACTATGATTACGCCAGACAAACTCCTCCAATTAATTCATTCTTGGCATCCTTTGCTTTTTTTTTCGATAATTGCACTTTTTCCCTCTTTAAAAAAAATAACCCAGATAGCCGTAAAAACCAATCCAAGGGTAAGAAGAAAAAAAAAAAAAAGACGACAAGGTATAACAAATGACACAAATAAGTTAAGACATAGCCATTAAGGAAAAAAATACACTTATAACACAACAATTTTCCGTTAAAGGTCCTCAAAACGAGTCTTCCATGTAAAAGGCGGCCGGGCGGTTTATCTTTCTTCTGATTTTTAATTTAATGCGTAATTAAACTGGTTTGCAAACTTCTCGTGGCGCCTCTTATCCATTTGGTTCATTGCGCTTATCACCCGTTTCACTGATCCCCTGTGAGACGAAGGGAAAGGAGAAAAAGCCGTTAGCCCAAAAATAAACACATAAAGTCAAGCTCAAGTAAAGTCAAGGCGGGATGTTTATAGATATGTTTAAGAAAACAAGGCGGTATCATTAATTACCGCCGGGTCCTCCTAACGTTGGGCTGATGAGGCAGAACAAATTAGACGTGTTAACTAAATTAAGTACGGCAATACAAATAGTTTTAATTCAACAAGGTTTTAATAAGAGGAGTGAAGTAATGGAAGGCTCGCTTTAATGTGCCCACTCCACCTTTGTCATTATTCTTTAACACCGACCTTACAAGATAAATGGCAAACTTCCAAGCTTCTGTACGAGGAAGGCTGCCACAGACAAAGGCAAAGAATCCTCTTTATCCAAGCTCTTGTGGGTACGATGATGGTTTAAATGCCCGGGCTGGGGTTCAGGCTAAAGCAGATCTTCAAGGTCACCATAGTCGGGGTATTTACTGTTAACTCTTTTATGATGGGGGTATTTAACCACTTGCTGACCAGGTGTTTACACCCCCCTTCCTGGCCAGGCCATTTTTCAGTATTCAGCGCTGCGGTACTTTGACTGACATTTATTCTGTCATGCAACGCTGTACGGAAATGAATTTTATAAAAAATTTTGGTGGACAGATAGAGCTTTCGTTTGGTGGTATTTAATCACCACTGGGGGTTTTATATTTTACTATATTAAGGAAAAATTACAGAAAATTTTGAAAAAAAAAAAAGATTTTTTACGTTATGTTAGGAAACAATTATTATTACCCATTTTTTTGTTAAACTATAACAGACGGGGTCACGTCGGGTAAATAGACACCAAACATGTCAAGCCTTAAAAGTGCGCGCGCCCGCGAAATCGCGAAAAACTACCATACCCAAAATTGGCCATAGGTGACGCTTTAAAAGCTTTTACCGCTCATCAGTTTATCAGTGATTGAAGGCCCTAGAATTATTGCTGCGACGTTCGCAGTGATATGTAACATGTGCGGCGTAATGGGCGCAATCGCCATTTTTGCACGTATGCGCACCCGATGCATGTTTGCATGCACTTTTTTAAAAAAAATTAGTTTTTTTAACATTCTTTTTCGTGTGTGACTTCAATTTTTCTTTTTGCAACTTTAATTCACCCCCCCCCTTAATGTTTGGTTATCACATAGGGGGCTAACAAACCCTCTGTGCGATAGCAAAGAGATGTGACAGGTCCTCTTAATGGAGACATCAGGGGTCTCCAAGACCCCTAATGTCACCTAGGGACCCTCAAAGAAGCTGATGAAGCAGAGATCAGCTTCTCTCCAGCTTCTGAAGGTGGAAAGTGACACAAGAATGTGGAAGTGATGTGGGACCGATCTCCCTCTGATCCCCTGTCACAGAGCCACCATGCTCCCGGGCTCGCACCAGGCACATCGAAGCTCGGGACCAGCGGGAGGGGGCTACAGGAAGGTGCACAGACCGGCACGTTACACAAGCGATCCGCCGACTCTATAGCCAGCGAATTACTTGTATGTAAACAGGCATCGCTGCCGTTTTTCTAATTTGGGCAGTTTCCCGCGTGTCTCGTGAGGGGGCGGGGCCAACGGACAGTCTTTAGACGGCCACTCACATCCAGGAAGGCGGTTAAAGTGAAACTACAGTGTATTTTCAGTAAAGCACACACTTTCGAGTCCTCACTGTGACATGTAGGCAAAAATCATTTTTGACCAAAGGTTTGTAGCCAGCTTGCCCTAAATGGGGTAACTACTTACAGTAACTACTGTAACGGTAACTACTTTAGTTCGCTGAGACTGCATTCAGTCTAGCTGACTTGTATAGTCTATATTAATTTGGTTTTCACTAAGGATTCTGTTGTTCTGTTGCTTGGTGTAGCCTTGCCACAGAGCAGGGCAACCAATGATGAAATACTATGGATATCTATGTCTCTTCAGCCAATCACTAGGAGTTTCATGGCCAGTTTTGCATGCTGGGAGGGGACATAAATATCTAGGTTTGACCATGTGAGAGTCTCTTTCTCCCCCAGGCCTCCTCCCTGGAGGTAGTGCGTTACTTGTGTGCTGTCAGACCAGGCCTGAAGCCTGCAGGTGGTCAGAGGTGGACTAAGCCATGGTCTAGAACTATTCCTTTGATGTAGAGCCACGGAGGAATGTCTGGAGGTACCCGAGAAGCCAGAATGGGCTTGGACCACAGAAAAAAGTCTGGTGTCCCACCCATCTACAAATTTCTGCCAGCTATGGTGCTCCAACACAGTGTCATCGTATTTCTGATACTTGTGATACTTGTAGTCCATATCTGTAAACAATCTCCTGGCCTAGATGATGCGGCTATGCTCTGGAGAGCGCACCCTGTGATTTTCTGCTACATAGGGAATTGGGATTCAAGTTTTCGTTGGTGAGCTAAAGTGAGGAGAACCAGCGAGACTGAGAAAAGGCCTATTACCCAATTTTCACCCAAGGGCCTGTTGTTCAAAGATGCCATTAAGCCTTTCCTCTCTTCTTTTGGAGAAAAGAAAAGGAATAATTTTGTGTAAAAAGAAAAAAAAAAAAAGTTATCTTCCTGTATCAGCAGACCTAAATGTAATAGAAGCAAAGCAGAAAAGGAGGAAGCTACAGAGAAGTACTGCAAAAGTGATAGAGTTCAGCCAATCTCATGTTAGAGGAAGAGGCATTATATGTATTAGGATGCATGCTGCCTGCAACTTCTCTTTGGCTCTCTTGGAATTAAAATCATTTAAAAAGGCAGAATATAAAAGATCTCCAGTTTCTCATGTACAGTGGTACCTCGGTTCACGAACTTAATTCGTTCCACAATTCTGGTCAAGAACCAAATCAAATTTCCCCATAAGGCTCAATGTAAATAAGGGTAATCCGTTGTGAACTATATGTAAATTCATTACCGCTCTGCACTTTCTTTTTACCACCATGCTTGCTCTGCACTTTCTTTGGAGCCACGCTTTATTGAATAATACTGTACAGTACTGTATGTGCTAAAAAGCACACAAAAAAAGCTTCACAGCAAGTGTGCACAGGTCTGTCTGTGACCACAATCTCGACTAGAGGAAGCCACAACCATGTGTCAGAGCAGGGAAGATGGCTGCGGTTGTGTTCGTCACCCGATTTGGAGTTCACGAACGGAAGCAAAATTTTGCCGAACTTCCTGTTCGCGAACAGAAGCGCTCGTGAACCGAGGCATTACTGTATTTTATTATTCACTTGAAGCATTACACTGACCACTAGAGATGAGCCTGGGTTTGGTGTGAACCCAGATGCCCGAGTTCAGTCAAGCCCACTAAAAACTGTGACCACCACTTCCTCTTTCTGGCCCAAATAGCAGCGGCAGGAGCATTCCCTGCCCTTTTGTGCTGTATAGGTGCAGGGTAGGGAATGCGCCTCTCCGCAACTGATCGGACCAGGTGAGGAGGAAGTGGCGGTCACAGTGGGCTTGGGTGAATTCAGGGAAACTGCGTTCACACCAAGCCCAGACTCATCACCACTGCCCACATATTCTGTTTAAAATAGTTTAAAGTGACTGTCAGAACTCGGAACACATGAGGAAGCAGTCATTCTCACTCAAATATTGCATATTAGTACCAGGGAAATGTGGCTGATTTACTAACAGAGTAAAGCATGTTGACTTTGCAAGGAAATGTTTTACTTTCTTTAAGAAAATGTGGTTCACTTTAAAAAGAATGCCCTACTGTAAGTAGCCTCATACTGTGTAAATTTTATGCTGTGGAAAAAAAAGGCCGAGCCCCTTGGGGTAGGGCCGAGAAAACAGAATAAAGTTTGTTTAAAAAAAAAAAAGAATGCCCAATAAAAAAAAAAAGGAAGAGGAAAAGGAGAAGCAAAAAGAAAAAAGGTAAAAAAAAGCTTGATTTTTGCTTACACGATTGGATGATAGCTCAGTGAATGAGTTAAAGCTCTGCTGACATCTAAGTGAAAATTCCCTTGCAAAGTTAAATATCAGCCACAATGACTCGATGAATCAGAACTGGTATTTGCCAAGAGTCAGTGAACGGCTGCTTCCACTGCAGCCTAATTAAGCAAGTGGTTTGCTTGGTGACAGACTCTCTTTAAAGAACAACGAGAAGTTTCCACAGCGACAGAATGGGGATATGATGCTGCCATGTCATCTGCCTGCTACAGAACATCTTATTTACAACAACTGTGATCTGTTCGTCAAGTGTTTCCACAGCTGGACGCATGATTTCCATTCAATTCCCCGGAGCTAATTAAATCTGGCTTGTTCTTAGGGAAAGGGCGCTGTTAATTGATGTCTGGTACACTCCTGGAGATGTCCATCCAGTTGTTAATTAAGACCTGTTGAGCGAGATCATATAATTTGCGCTGCGATACCAGCTGTCAGACACCATGTTTTATGATGCGTGCGACAGTAGGAGCGATCGCGTCAGGGACACTTGTGCTCAGCAAACATACTGCATGTTCGCGCTACCAGCAACACAAGTAAAATTCTGCTGAAAGGTGACTTTCAGAAAACCATGTACCACATTAAAGAATTTTTCGAATGCAGGAACAAGTTAACAGATCAAAGCAAGCAACCACAGACAGATTCTGCACCCTTTACTGAACAAAGGTTAAGGGTGCATTCACACCGGAATTGGAGTCAACGAAGGTACATTGACTGGACTTTCCATAGTCCATTGACATCCGTTTTTTTTGGGGGTTTGATTGTTACACTAAGCAGCAACCCGAAAAAAATCTACTTTTGCCTTGAATCATTCCTGAAGAATAACAGTACACTTCCTGTACCTAGGCACCTACCTGCCATGAGCTGTATATCGGCAGTGTGAGATCATCTGGAGGCACTACTGCCTTTGACTGTTAGGCCTCATTCACACAGCGTACAGTCGGGCCGTACAGATCCTTGCGGTGTGCTCGGCCGTATCGGGCCATTCTCTGAAAGGACAGGTGCTACGTGGGATTGCACGCAGCAGCCTGTTCTTACCTATGGGAGGACGCGGCCGTACGCTGTCATACACACACCCGAGCTGCACATCCGTGCGGGTGTCTGTGCTCGGACGCAGACAGGATCCATCCTGTCTGCATCTAAGTACGCACACCCGCCCGGATGTGCAGCTCGGGTCAGCGTATGGCCGCGTCCTCCCATAGAGAAGAACAGGCTGCTGTGTACAATCACACGTAGCACCTGTCCTTCCCGGGAATGGCCCTATACTGCCATGCACGCCGAACGGATCTGTACGGCCCGACTGTACGCTGTGTGAATGAGGCCTTAGTCTTTGGACTAACGAGATTTAAAATTAGATTTGGTGATGTCACCACGGTGCTGCTCACTGTTCTCCTTGCTGGAGAGGAAGCTGCACCTGAGAACCTGCAGTGCAAGGCTCTCATCTCCATTAATTCTGTGGGTCTGCTTTTCCCCCACCTCTAATGGTACTTCTTGATCACTACCTCAGCAGTCATCAGATCACCAGTCAACAGAACACACTTTGACGTGAGGAAGCAAAGTCCTGCTCCTTTACCATGATGACCAAGATGAGTACAGAGCACAAGCATGGTAAATCAGTAATGGGGAACAGATCAGCTGCAGAGAAACCAGAGGCAATACTGGTGACTAGTTTTTTGTCTTTTGCTTTGACTTCTTTGGACACATTCCGCAGTACAGGTCCTCTTTAAGGTAACACATGTGGCCACAATATGCTTTCAATATACACCAGTTTATTACTGGGAAATACTGGGAGCTGTCCCAGTGCAAATTAAATATGTCTCAAATAAAATATTATTAGAACATTATTAGGAATTCTTGTAAACACAAAATAAGTTCCACCGAATAAAAATAAATATATAAGATGGTCAGCATCTTACGGGTTAAACAATTTCTTCTCCAGACGGGAGCGAGTGGTATTTGCGTTCTGCTTCAGATCTGTCAGATTCGGATACTTTTTCTTCTTTCCTTTCTTCTTTTTAGATTTTCCAGCAAACCTGGAGGAGCCCAGATCTTCCCCCGTGGCTTGCTCGATCTCCCTCATCAGTTCGGGGTCTCTCCAATCTACATCAAAACACAGAAAAGAAATCATGAAAGCTACTGATGTTAAAAATTCAAGATACACCCGAAGAAAGCTCAATCTCTAAGCACTGACCCCCATTATTGCTATAAAGATGCATACTAATCCAGGATTTATTCAACTTCAGCCAACCTGGAAGTGCCATCACCCCTGCTATGCTGCCAAACTCTCTCAGTTTGAATATCAAAGGTAACTAACGGCAGGAAGTACTTCCTAATATTTTCTGTAGAAATCACTGCTGAACCTCACTGCAACCAGTCATGTAAGTGTACAAGTATTTAGTCATGTAATCTATACTGCAGTCTAGGGAGCTAAAGGGGCCATTTTAGCATGCGGGCCCTTCTTCTTTAAAGTATCTGTTCACTAGCACATTAGCACTTTAAGGGGTCTATTTATAAACAGTTTACGGGGCTATTCACCCTGAAAATCTTTTTGAATGTTCGCTAATAGAGGCAAAAATGAGCGTTCTTAGTATACTTTCTTTCCAGGTCGACTGTAATGTAATACCACATTAGGGCCAGAAGATGGAGCTGAGGAGCACAGGAAATAAGTATTTCTTTCCTATGCTCCTCAGGTCCATGTGCTACACTTACCATCCCTTTGCACATTTTAGGGCCAACTAACCATCTAGAAAGATTTTTTTTTGATTGTTAGAAGAAACTGGAGCACTTGGAGCAAAACCATAAAAATATAAGGAGGATGTAAAAACTCCATGCAGATAGAGTCCCAGGTGGCATTCATACATACTCCAAACTGCAAGCAAAGATTGCTATCCACTTAAACCTACTCAGTCTGGCGGCAAAACATTAAACACTGCCTGACCAAAAAAAAAAGTCACATGTTCTTATATTTAGTTGGACCGCCTTTAGTTTTGATTACAGCACACATTCGCCGTGGCATCGTTTCCATAAGCTTACGCCATGTCACAACATTTATTTCCGTCCAGAGTTGGATTAATTTTTCACCAAGATCCTGTAGTGATGATGGGAGAGTTGGACCTCTGTGTAAAGTCTTCTCCAGAACATTCCAAAGAATCTCAATGGGGTTAAGGTCTGGACTCTGTGGCGGCCAATCCATGTGTGACAATGATGTCTCATGCTCCCTGAACCACTCTTTCACAATTTGAGCCTGATGAATCCTGGCATTGTCATCTAGGAATATGCCCAATGTGCCATCAGGGAAGAAAAAATCCATTGATGGCAAAACCTGATCATTCAGTATATTCAGGTAGGCAACTGACATCATTTTTTGGGGACATAACGTTGCTGAACCTAGACCTGACCAACTGAAGGAACCCCAGATCATAACAAAAGCACTTACGCCTTGCAGCACGGGGGGTTCCCGGTTCCTATCCCAGTCAAGACACTATCTGCAAAGAGTTTATATGTTCTCCATGTGCTTCCTTGGGTTTTCCCCAGGTACTCAGGTTTCCTCCCACACTCCAAAGACATGCTGGAAGGTTAATTGGCTCCTCCCTAAATTGCCCTGTATGTATGTGAGATAGGGACCTTAGAAGGTAAGGGCAGGGACTGATGTGAATGCATGGTATATAAAGCACTGTGTAACTTGTAGGTGCTATAAAAATTCCAGCCATAAATAAAATAATTAAATAAATCCAGGTGGTGGTTTGTGTTTTTTGGCCAGGTAGTATATAAAATTGAGACTGAAGAACACGGAAGGGAGATTCTGACTTTAACACAACCACAAAGTTGTCCTTCAAAGTTTCCATTTATTATAGCTGAAAACACAGACTGCACAGTGATGCATTCGCTTCAACCAGCCTTAACAATACGTGTCTGAGTGAAATTCTCTGCTTCCGAGACTAGCACTGGAACAATTGAAAGTTGGGAACGAGATATCGGGGATTAAGGCGCACCGTGTAAAGTGTTTACCTCGCTGCAATAATACGGCGTCACAGTTTAGTAACCGAGAGGACGAGGCAATTGTTTAAACACAGGGCAAGAAATACCGCCATTTGCGACAGATAAAATGACTGTGTGAGTCAAATGAAGGAGCAATTTAAAAGCTTTTGAGGAAAAAAAATCAATGAAATGCCAGGGAAGAGAGGCTTTTTTTATTTTTGAGCACTGATGGGGCCCTAAACCGCTTCTTGTATTGTTACCGAGTTTAGTGGCGGGGAAGAGAAAATGACAGTGTTGGCGAGGGTGGGTGGGAATCAATACTGCAGTTAGTGACGAGACGTTATTTCACAAGTGACTGGCTAAGGGACTGCCTCTGCCGGATTGTCCTCATCCCGGGCTGTTAACAAGTCAGTAAAAGCTGCAAGGACAGACACTGACTGCCATTCGCACAAGAAATAGCCACTTCATTTGCTTTAGTGGATGAGCTGCTGGAAAGGAGGAGCGCGGCAGATTAACAGGTCAGAGCAATCATTTTTAAGCCACAGGGGTCAGCGTGCAGCTGGAAGGGACAGGGAGCAATATGCCTTCCATTACCTTCCTTTCTGTGAAGTAAAATGTGTGACAGGACCATATAATATCAGTTTATGGTGCTGTCGTGTTTAATTGGGTTACAGGTTAAAGAGAACCAGCCATAAAAGTAAATATAACAATAATAAAGCATTTATGACTAGATCGTGCCCGTTAAAGCCTGACTCCAGTTTAGGTCTCCACCACCAAGCAATATTCTGAAACAATTTCCAGTATACGTATCTTATTCCAGTATACGTATACGACACCTAGGTGTCACGTGATGAGGGACATCCTCTCCTTCAGGGTCAGATATGGGTGGTCTTCACTAATGGACAATTCTAAGTTCCGTCCTATGCAGCTGAACATTTTTACTGCATGATAAAAGCTAGCCCAAGGGGTTCATCATTGACATTCAAGCGGTTGCAAATCAGAAGTGAGGCGGTAACGAGCAGAAGTAGAGGAAATCTACGCAATCGTGTATCACATGTTGCAATTATGTCTTAAATGGCACCACAGCACACCTAGCCATAGCATGAGCATTGTATCGCACCACAAGGTAACCTATTACCATGTGATGTGGTGCGATGTGATTTTAAAAAAGGTGTTTGCACTTTTTTTAGCACTATTCAGCTGTGGTAGGAAGTCCATTCAAATGAATGGGCTGCCTACTGCAGTGCACCACAAATGTACCCTACAGTACCGTATTTGCCGGCGTATAAGACGACCCCCCACTTTTTGTGTAAAAATATAGGTTATGGGTGTGATGTCACATCGCAGAGGTGTGAAGGAGGGCTAGGTGTGCTACATACACCCATAAATACTTTACAGAAAAACACAGAGAGGGGAATTTACTAAGGCCTGGTTCACACCTGAACGTTTTGTAGCGCGTTCAACGCTCGACGAACGCTCTACAAAACGCTCAAACATCTAAATCCCATTGTATTCAATGGGTCTGGTTCACACCTTGCCGTATTTCCGCCCGTCCGAACGCGATACAAAACGGCCTACGTCAAAAGATGTACATGTACTTCTTTGGGGCGTTTTGGTTTCGCGTTTCCATTGGGATACAGCCAAGTAGCCCTCGGAAACGGGCGTTTGTCGCGCGTTTTTTTTACCGCGAATCGCGGTAAAAACGCGCAACGCCAAACGCGGATATTCAATACAACTAGGTGTGAACCCAGCCTAAGACTGCACTGGAAAGAATCTGGAGCAGCTGTGCACGACAACCAGCTTCCCTCTTTCATTTTCAAATCTTAGCTGAACAGACTGAAGATAGAAGCTGATTGGTTGCCATAGGCAACTGCTCCAGATTCTTCTGCTTCAGTTTTGATAAATATGACCAAGTAAATATACCCATGACACAAATATAAAAATTGCTTTGGTCCATAAGAAGTATAGAGATGCCAGAGCTTAAGTTCTTCAAGTATTTGCATATTCTGACTGACAGAGCACTGAAGGCTTGTTTTAAAGTTCTTTTCTCCACTAAACAACAATGTTGAAATGGGAATACTAGTGAAAAGAAAGCTTGTTTAAATTTAAGGGCCTCCAGCGTCTCCTTTTCTTCCACCTCATATCACTAAAATTGAAAAACACAAAAGTGCTTGCATCAAATACAAGAAAAGGTTTTTTTCCTTCAATGATCCTTCTCTGTTGACAAACAAAATGCAATTATTAACTTTTGCATTAGTGCTGCCAGCTACACTATCCAACACACTGACTGGCAAAAATAAATAAATATATATATTTTGCTGGACCACCTTTAGCTTTGATTACGGCACACATGCGCCGTGGCATCGTTTCAATAAGCTTATGCAATGTCACAACATTTATTTCCATCCAGAGTTACATTCATTTTTCACCAAGATCTTGTAGTGATGATGAGAGACTCGGACCACTGCATAAAGTCTTCTTCAGAACATCCCAAAGATTCTCAATGGGGTTAAGGTCTGGACTCTGTGGTGGCCAATCCATGTGTGACAATGATGTCTCATGCTCCCTGAACCACTTTTTCACAATTTGATCCCGATGAATCCTGGCATTGTCATCTTAGAATATGCCCGATGTGTCATCAGGGAAGAAAAATCCATTGATGGAAAAACCTGATCACCAGTATATTCAGGTAGGCAACTGACCTAATTTTCTGGGGACATACCATTGCTGAATCTAGACCTGACCAACTGAAGCAACCCCAGATGATAACACTGCCCACAATCTAGACGGTGACTTTTGTTTGGTCAGGCAGTGTACAATTCAAACTGCAGGAATTAGTATTAAAATGGTGATCTGTATCTGAAGGGCTTGGAATTATGTATATTAGCAAAAGTATGAGCATTCCAAATATGTACAGTATATTATAGTGAAAGAGAATCATTGACTGTTCTAATGAAGGAAGCTCCTGGCAACTGAGCTCAAGGGAAGAGAAGCAATGAAGCCGAGTAGAGGCACAATTCCCTAATTTTCACCCAAGAGTCAGGTTAACACTTGGGTCGCGTTGAGAAATAAATAGTTCCTTCTGTAATTAGAAATCGATTGTCCGTAATGTGTATGTGTTATATCTCATAGCTAATATCAAATCAAAACTTAACATACCACATGGAGCTCCAGATGAGACCGGGCTACACTCTTCCCAACTACATCTCAGGTGATGTTTGTCTCCACCGCAGCAATCAATAGTAGAAGCAACAGGAACATCGCTCACCGAGATCCAAAATAATATTCGCTGTTTATTAAACAGCGAGTAGGAACAAAAATCTCAATGGAACGCGTTTTATGCTAGACGCTGCGCTTTTTCATAGGAATCTTTGAAAAAGCGTTTTGTCTAGCGCGAATCGTATCCGAATAAAAGCTTGTTCCTGCTGGCTATTTATTAAATGGAAGACAATTATTTTGCATCTGGGTGTGCGGTGTTGCTGCTATTAATATCAAATTAAAATGTAGTCCTTGTATGAAGTACACATGGACACAACGCTGCTGCCAGTCTCTGGTACATTCTACCCCAGTCATGAAAGCAGTTTTAGCAATTTTGCAGACAGTTCTTTCAAGGGTAATCAGCTCAGGAAGTCTCCAGTGCAGCTACTGTATGTCAGCAACACTTAATGACCTAAAGACTCATATCTATACTTCACTGCACATTAAGTGATGAAAACACACAGGCCAAAGTTTAATGGTTGTAGGGCATCATTAGGTTCGGTCTACTTTATCATCTTAATTTATTTAAACAAAATGGTTTTTGTAGCCCTTGGATCTATGGCCCAAGAAAATGCACCTGCCAAGTTCTATACAGGTCATCGAGCCCAATGTGAAACAAGTTCCTTTTCAAAAGAAGCTATCGAGCACTATAATATCAAGGATTCACGTTGCTGGGTCACCTACAGAAACAACTCTGCCAGCTATTTTGTTCTGCACACCCCGCTTGTACTGAACACCCATGGCATACAGAAAAATATGAATAATGAACGGGAAGGACTCAACAGAGGGAAGAGAAGAAACAGAAAAAAAATAAATACAAGCAACTAAAAGGGTCACTTTGGATTTTTGTGATGGCTTAAAGTGACACTAAACTCAGGAGTTACATAGTATTTGAGGTTGAATAAAGACATAAGTCCAACCTATTGTGTGTATGCATTTATGTTTGAGCAGGTGTGTGCGTGTGTATTAGTCCATGTGTGATTTTGCTCTTAGGCGTACCTCTACCCCTGTATACCCCTGGTCTCCGTGGATTTAACTCAGGAGTTAAATCTTAAAAATGCATTCAAGTATTATTATTATACAGGATTTATGTAGCGCCAACAGTTTGTGCAGCGCTTTACAATATAAGCAGGACATTACAATCACAATACAATTCAAGACAAGATGCTAGGGAGGAGCCTGCCCCTGAGGGGTTACAATCTAAAAGTAGATAAATGTTTCTTATTTGTGTATCACTCGGCTGTAGATCCTCATATCATCTCTGAATTGGTGCTGACACTGTCCTTCCTTCTGGAGGGGGGCTACTTGTGTTCCCCATGGTACCTGCGGGTGTTGTAAAGTAGTCACCGCTCCAAGTTCACTCCTGTGATGGATTACAATCTCAATACAAATTAATAAACTAAACATGAGATTGTAGTCCATCACAGGAGTGAGCTTGAAGTGGTGACTACTTTACAACACACACAGGGACCATGGGGAACAAAAGTAGCCCCCCTCCAGAAGGAAGGACAGTGTCAGCACCAATTCAGAGATGATTTGAGGATCTACAGCCGAGTGATGCACAAATAAGATACATTTTTGTTAATAGTTAGGGTACTTGAATGTATATGTATTTTTAAGATTTAATTCCTGAGTTTAATGTCCCTTTAATATCTTACATCACACTATTCCTGCAGCTCTACTACAGGAGTAGTGATGGATGAAACCACTATTGTGCCTGCTGCACCCTATTGTCTTTGTCAACCAATTGATCAGCCCCCATGGAAGTAGCTCTGTTGGTCCAGTGGATCACCTCTTTATACAGGCCTATGCTAATTAGCATATTACTAAGGGCTGCAGAACTGGGAATATGGTTTGAGATCAGCAGTGATGTCATATTGCAACCCCACTATTTCTAAGAGTTGCCAAAAAGGAAGGGAAAGGTTCATCGGTAATGGCAGTCAGGCTGTACGACCTCCTGACTCCTCGGGCTCTAACAAAAGCCCTTGAAGCCCAACGCTAAGAATATAATGGAGAGAATAGAAAATGCACAGCTCATCTGTCAATTGGTACATACAAAAGTAATCTGAAAGCCCAACTGAAGTACCACACCTTTTTATCGCTGCAAAGGCCTGTACCCCCCATTTTATGATTTATAACTGATTTTTGTTGGTAAATCGTTTAAAACATGCACTCGCCTAGGCACACGTGTCCTCACACAGACTTGCATTGCACAGAAACAAGGAGGAGGTGTCTGACAAGTTCTCCTGCTCAGTACTGATTACAGAGGGCACTAGGTCTAACTCTGTTGCCTATTGGACTGAGCGGTCGTATTTAGATAACCTGTTGTAACAGAAAAATGTAGAGAAGACTATACAAATAGGGGTTGTGTGTGCTCTGTCTGACTGCGTGTCTTTTAAGTGACCTCAGATGGGCTGCGAGATTCAAACATGTAAAAAATGATCATTTAGCCTTTTGTAATTCAGTAATCCTATACCTTGTTCTTGGGCTTGCTTCTCAAACTTTTCCTTGGCTTCTCTCTCGCGATCCTCGGGCTTGACTGGCACTCCAATTTCATCTCGTGGAATTATCTTCCCATGGAAAGGACACTTGAAGACAGACATAAAATACAAGAAAAACAAATGAAATGATATAAACGGACATCCTTTTCCTAACCCGCTCAACAAGCTCTGTTATTTCTTCCACCCTACAAATTTAAAACAGAAGTTACAGACATGCACATTGTCCCGTATCTAACCACTATGTTTACCTGAGACATCTCTAACAAGGTCATGTCACTAGATTTGCCAACTAACAGATTATGAGAATAGTTGTCAACTATTCTCATTATCCATTAGTTGGTTGAATCCCCTAGATCTCTCCTCCAGGGTGGGAGGAGAGCACAGCAAGCAGTGGGCAGGAGCAATAGCCACCTGCTATTGTCTATTGCAATTTGAAGTGGCCAATAGTTACATAGTTACATAGTATTTGAAGTTGAATAAAGACATTAGTCCATCAAGTCCAACCTATTAGGATCTCATTCTAGGAGTACCTGTACCCCTGTATATTACGGTCCCTTAAGAAATCGTCCAAAAGTTTCTTGAACAATTCCACATTCTTTGCTGAAATCACCGCCTGTGGCAGTGAGTTCCAGACCCTAACTGATCTAACTGTAAAGAATCCTGAACCCATGCCGATTGTCATTAACTATGCCGTTTTCCTGAACAAATTCTACCAGGTAATCCTTTATTATGCCCTCTAGCATTTTACAAACTACCGATGTTAGACTGACAGGCCTATATGTTGCACCTGCCCACCACCTGCTCTATTTACATTCAGCTGCCACCTGCGGAATCTTGCCACTGGCACCTGTTATTTCCTGACTGAAGCTATTCAAGCGCCGTGTGGTTACACTACAATTATTAAAACAAAAATTATAAAAAGGTGGGAAAAAAGTCATTTTTCGGTTTCAGCCAGACAAATTTTGCTACGGGAGGCGTGTTGCAGTGCCATTCATTTCAATGGCACCCCAATCACCCCTCCCACCCACAGTGTGATTGCCCGCACTGGAACGCACAGTACCACAATGCTGTGTGTTTCAGTGCAGTGAGATTGCAAAAGATTGTGCATGCAGTTTTATTCTAAAGTAAATTTTATGTTTAAATTAAGGATGATATTATTTAAATGTTTTCATCCGATTAATTGAAAAAATAAATCGACCAACTAATCGATTATGAAAATATTCATTAGTTGCAGCCCTATTTTAATGGCATAACTCATGACATTTTAGAAGAGGAGGGGGGTGTTCTATAGTCCTGTCCCAGGGCAACAGAACTGCAGAACACATTCAGCGGTGTCCTACTGCTCCCACATAGACACAGTATGGTGAGTAAACCGTGTCAACCTAGGAATAGAAGCGTGCCACTGGCAGGATCCCCAAGTGGAAACAATGCAGACATCACCCTTAAGAACTGGTAGGCTGCAATATTTAAGATTTGCGTTTGTGGGTTTAGATAGGCCTCAATCTGGTCATGTACAGTACTCACTAAAAAAATAAAATATATTAGCTTATTCACTCTAGGAGAATCATCATCCTGAGGCAATTAAGTCTCACTGAAGTCAGTCCAACACACCCTGATGAGGAAATGGACTTCATCAATACACTGCTGTTCCTTTATTGTCCAATGACATCTTTTCCTGCAGTCACTCACCAAGTGGATAGGTATCATTACCATGATTGCTGAGGAGGAGGATTTTGAACTTTGTACATAGAGGGTATATGAAGCGATAGTAATAAGGTAGGACATCTGTGTGAGTCACATAATATATGTAGTTATAATATTTGCTTGGACCTCTGCTATAGGACCCATGCACACCAGCAGCTGCGTTACACTGTCCCTTAAGGGCCCCTCAACCAATAAAGCACAACTGACGGGACCTCCCAAGGACAACAATACTTTATAGTTTGCAAAGCACACCTACCTTAAATCTGTCTTGCCTCTCGCAAAGTGATCCATTAGGTAAGGGCACTCGACATTTGTGTTTTACAGGTTCAAACTTGCCAGGCAATGAGATGTATCTGGTCTTCAGCATGGCTTCCAACTCTTTACTTTCGGTTTCCTCATCCATCTCACTGCTAGCCCAGAATCTGTGCTGGGAGGTAACCCTGAGTGAAAGAATAACACATAACCATAAGGAATGATGTTACTTTGTCTTTTGCTTAATTACTGAACTGTGACATCGGTGGGACTCCAGCGCGTTCCATGTTGTTCTCAAGCAATACAGAAGCGTGCCATGTAAAAGGGTTTTCTACTATGGGTTATGTCACACTAGCAATTTTGTCGCAGAGATTTGAAGCAGCTCTGGATGCTTTTAATTTTCCATTTTATAATTACACATTAGCAATATTTTACAAACGAGATCATCCAGGAATGTACAAATATTTGAACAGAATCCTCAAAGTTGCATAAATGACATAAAAAGATAGATACAGCATGCTGCAGAATACAGAAGAACTAAATGGACATTCAGCTTAAAAGGTAAACTCCAGCTAAATATACAGTTAAAATACATACCGTATATACTTGTGTATAAGCCGTCCCGAATATAAGCCGAGGTACCTAATTTTAGCAAAAAAAAACTGGGAAAAAGTATTGACCCGAATATAAGCCGAGGGTGGGAAATGAGGCAGCTACTGGTAGATAGATACCAATAAAATGACATTAATATTTATTTAAAAGAAAAATAACCTAGCTCTGTAAGTGGAAAAGACTGCATTACCAGCCAAAGGATTTGTATTACGGTCTATACAGTTCTGATATTTACACACTTCTACCAGACAGCCTGGAGACCTAACTTTACTGTTAGTCCCTTTCCACCCTGTTATTGGGCAGTAAAATGATGAGCTTATATGCCATTTCGTTCTCTCCTCCTCTCAGCATGTTCCATGTCAGCACATGAGCACTGCAGGACAACTGGTTGGTTCCTTGTGCTGCTTTTCTCTCTTCCAGTCTGAGCTCTGGTGAACAATGGATGGCAGGTTGATACCGGGTCAAATTTAGGCACTTACACTAGTTGCTTTTAAAAATACTCCTAAAGAAGAACTCTGGGCAAATAGACACTTGCCCTTGCAGTGGGGCTACGCCCACATTGCAAAGGTTAAGTGTTCGTCTTGGTCTAGGTGCTGAAATAAAAAAAAAAGATTTATTTAGCTGATCCCAACTTCCTCCTGGCTCCTAGACCGTTTCCTGTAGTCTCTTCTCCCCTGGGCTCCAGCGAACTAAGGACCGCTGACGTCATTACATCTTATGCAGGTCCACTGAACTGCATTAGACTTGAAGACACAGAGTGGCATGCCACAGCCATAGTGAAAGGGAGAGAGGTGAGCGCTGAACCCCCTTGGGAGCCGGGATCAGGTAAATAAAACAGCTTTATTGGAGCCCCCTATGCAAAGCGAGTCTAGCCCCACTGCAAGGGTAAGCTTTTTTATTTATCTGGAGTTCTTCCCTAAATGATTATTTACTGAACATGAATTGATGTTTTTTTTTCTGCCTGAAGTTCACCTTTAGCTTCACCAGACTAGTAAAACAAAGACGCTTTTTCAGTGTTAAAATACCTTATGCATTATTAATATTATTATATAGGAGTTATATAGAGCCAACAGTTTGCACAGCACTTTACAATATAAGGAAGACATTACAATCACAATACAATTCAAGACAAGATGGTAAGGAGGGCTCTGCCGCTGAGGGCTTACAATCTAAAAGGGAGGGACAAGTGATACATGAGGAGGGAGCTGTGTGGGAATGAATTGTTTGAGAAAGTGATTAGTTCAGTGGTTAGGTTGAGGCGGGATAGGCTTCCCTGAAGTGATGAGTCTTCAGGGATTGCCTAAAGGCAGGCAGGCTGGGCCTAAAGGATGAGAGAGACTCTAGAGAAGTCCTGGAGGTGAGCATGAGAGGAGTTGACGAGGGAGCTGGAACGCAGCAGGTCTTATGAATATCATAAGATGAAAGAAATTTCATACTATTAGATTTCTCATTTCATTTTCTTTGTCCTTCCCTATTTTTCCTCATGACTCTTCTTTACTTTAAAAAAAAATGCTTTATGCTCCATTTACACATAGCAGTAGCGGTTTCTGCGCAAAACTGGTAACATATGCACGGATTCCGCATGTTTGCTGCTATTACTGTAGCTGGAACGTGCGGAATCCACCCATAAAAATCGCACTTGGACTATATTATTTGTCATGTCAAGCCTGATGAAGGGGAACCTGCATGGCCACGAAATGTTGCATTTTAGATTTGACAATATGTGTGACTAAAAGACGCTTTATTTTGGACATCATCCATTGGTGTGTTGGTGACATTTCTGATGGACTATTTTTTGGACGTGCGGTTTCGTACAGTGCGGCCGCCGCAGTAGTCTGAACAATGCACATTGCAATGCATTGGTTTTTATGTTTAGCGCATTTGTTTGCACGAATACGCGTGGAAAAATGCTCATGTGTGAATGGAGCCTGACAGTCTGTGTCATTTTCCATGACTTCATGTTGATGTGACACCCTGCCAAATGAACAGAAAGTGAGGGTGGGTCGCAATGAAAAGAGGAAACAATCCTTCCTGACAATATGGAAAAGTAACAAAAAAGTAAAGGCCGAAGCTTGGGCATTACAAAAATAATTAGGAGCAGTGTGCAGCTAGGTCTTTGTTTCACCATGTATGTCATAGCTAAGCTAATCTGATCCAGAAACAAACAAAAAAGGAAAAAAAATACGAAGAGTAAGCTGGAAATGATTTCCTGCTACAACAGCTCAGTCTTATATCACCCGTCACAACCAACAAGTCTGAGAGTGCATGGTTCTGGCTAGGGTTGTGTGTATTATGTCTTCACTGCCCTAACCTGAAGCTTAGCTACAAATGAATGTTGGCCAGAAAGCAATTAAACAACGCTGCGGTCAATACTCCTTTTGCAGAAGAAACCTCATTGTGCAGAGATAAGGTATTCCACATGAACACAAAACAGTTAAGCTGCTGCTGGTCAGTATATGTTCTTCAGGATGTCAGCAGACAGGACATGTCATCGGAATAAGCCTCCAGCCAGAGAGACGTATGTGCTAAACCTTGCACCACCGCTGCCTTGTTGACGATTATTATTTAACTGGATATCTTCCGTTTTTTCTATTTCAACATTTTTATTGCACAAAAACAAGGTAGTTGTAAAACCAAAGCCAAACGGATGAGGTATACAAAACACATATGAAAACCATATAACATATTAGATAACTTGGAATCCCTCTCACTAGGATCCCGGTCAGTCAAAAGGGATGTAACACAAAAAAGTATATGACAATAAAAAACAATAATACAAAGAGTGTTATATGGAGAAACCTAGGTGGAATAATTCCACTGCTGAACGCCACGACCTATAGCATATCCCAATATAATAAAGCCCCTATGGGGAAATATCCAGAGCAGAAAATAAAGGCAAGAGAGCAACGTAAGGTTAGAAAGAAAGGGTGTGAAAAAGTAGAAGAAAAGAAAAGCAGTGGGCTGAGAACCATAACAGGTAAGTGAAGTTACTAGAGAGGGTGGATCTGTTCCCTGAACCCAGTAATAAAATCCCCTCAACCCCACTACAAAGGGATTAAAGCCCCCATAGATGATCAAAATTCATGTCTGGGTGAGCATATGATATCCGGGGCTCCCAAATGCTCAAAAACTTTGTGTTTATCCTCTAAAATACTTGTTAAATGTTCATTCACCATTATATAAACCCTTTATTTGACCTCCCGAGAAGGGATGACCTGCTTCTGCTGATTCCTCACAATAGTTAATTGGGCAGCAAGGAAAATTAAATGGGCCAAAGTCTGTTGGGGTTAAGTCAAACCCATTATAGGAGCACGTAAAAGGGCTGACCATGGCTTCCTAGTAATGGATCTACAAAAGGGTAACTAAAGTTTTTTTTACATTATTATGCGAGTTATTATTGTGCAATTTGCCTGAAGTCATTTTTAATGTGGCACAAATGCCTGTGCTTGCTGTTCCATACTGAGATTGTTGTAGATCATGCAGAGATCTGTAAATGTTCCCTGTAGTGGTCATCTATAGCGTGGAATGCGATTACCTTCCGTGATCAAACAGAACCTGACCTGGCCTACGAGTGTCTAAGGTAACGGTACTAAAGAGTCAGCACCTTGGAGTCCTGCAAGTGCCTGTGATAGTCTTTAAATTAAGTCTAAGTCTTTAAATTCCCTGTGGACCCTGCACCTAGGCTATACACAGGGGCTCATGATTTCCTCAAGCCATGACGCCCTGTCCTGGTCTTCAACTCTAAAATGCTAGAGCCTTAACTGTCCACTTGGGCTAGGTGCCAATAAGGGTAAAGGATTAATCTTCACTCGAACACATGTTGTGGCACTTTGCACAGACTGGGTCTAGGATCCAACGGGCTCCACAGGGATCAATTTGAAGACTGATAAAGGTGATTGCAGGAACAAGTTTTCTGCTCCTTTGCACTGTTGTTCATGGGCCCTTAAATGCAGCTCCTCATGTCACCAAGGGGGCTGCATATAATATGCATTATATGTCATGAACAGAAGACTGTCCTAGTCTGAAGACTTACCAGAGGAAATGGTCAGACACCCTTTTGGGTATGACCGTTATACTCCGGTTGTCAACAAATATGGATGCAATGCTGGGCTTTCTTATTTTAAAGCTCAACATGTTTTCATTCAGGAAAAAAGGAAAGTATAAGGGTTTTTTCTGTAATCTTCATTGCATTTTTCTCTTTTGTATATACAGGTATGAACTTTTATATAGCACTAAAATTATGCATAAAATCGTTATTTTACAAAACCTTTAATACAGGATGCTTCCGTGTTTCAACACGTGCAATTCTGTCAATAGGAAGGCCCAGCATTAGCTATGCACTTGCTGGCCCCTCCTGCAAACATATCTAGATAGCTACAGTCTCGACAGGAGAGGAAGAGGTTGCGTGTATGACCTGAGAACCCGTTATGAGGTCTGTGTACACCACAGCAGTGCAGGTGACCACACACTGGTTTAATTCTATCCTGCTAGCTGTGGGCGGGACTCGGAGGAAGTTTGAGCAGTATGTAGCCCCGCCAGGAGCCCTCCATTTGCTTAGTATATGGTCACCCTAAAT